TTCTTACTAGGAGGGCATCCAGATCATCCTTCAAGGATCATAGCCATCGACGAATACTGAGTCTACTCGGCTTGTGGAAAGAAGAGTACTGAAAAGATAACACCCCAAAAGGACTGCATCACAGCTTGCTAAGCTATGTTTTCCCAGACTTATTTAAGTGAGGAGGATTCTAGGCAATGCACTATTTGATTGAGCTGAATAATCAAATAGTAGACTAATGTCTGCTGTTCTGAATCTCTGAGGGACAAGCTCCACGGTTGGAGGCTCTTTGAATACTCTTGGAGGAGGTATTGAGAGTATTGTGGAGGAAGAGGGAACTTCTTGTGGCTCCAGCTTTCACAGTGTATGTACAAGGAGTTAATATTAAACTATGTACATGAGCTCAATTGAAATCCAATGATGTAATTATTAAAGACAATGTTCTGTGAGGGAGGTGTTGTATAATGGGAAAATGTGTGACCTTTGCAGTTGTTGATCTACACAGACCAGAGAACTTGAGATTCTTGCTGGGCGATTTGGTTTGAGAGGCTCCAGATTGGATCTGGCAGACCCACAGATTCTTCCAACAGGAAGTTCTCCATTATCTTACTCGACTGAATCAGCCACAATGATATCTTGTAATAATCAATCCTCAAACTGCATCTCCCCAAAGTAAAACCAAGACATGACCAAGGAAGAAGATTCCAACTCAAAGTAATCACAGATTGTTTTTGACTATATTGGAAGTAACTGACCAAGATAAAAAACAATGGATATGAAAAAAGTGACATCTTCATCCCTCATTTATGTCACATCTTTTTCTGTTTAATTGTGCATATGTAATATATCAAATATAGATATTTTTATTGATAATGTATAATGTATGAAGGAGATTCTTTGATTATATAAGTGAATAAATTTATGGATTGGATAAAATTATATGATAGGATAGGATGAGATGAGATGATACATTCAACCAAAATAAAAAAAAAGTTGAAATACAGAAAAAAAAGATGTCTTCTTTGATGGAAGAGAGAAAAAAAATAGAAACAAAACAATAGGGGATTTCTTTATTGAGGAGTTCAATAAAAAATGAAGAGAAGGAGTCATCAAAGAGGATAAGCAGTAGTAATAGGAATAGTAAAAATAAGTAAATAAAAAAGTTAAGACCATGTAGAAAAAGATCACAAGAGAGAGAGAGAGGTAAAAGAATAACCCTACTAAAGAATCCAAAAGGAAAAACAAAAATAGGGGTGGTGAAGGTTAAGGTTAAGGAAGAAGATGAGAATGAGAATGAGAAGAAGGATCGGCAGGAACACCAACTGCAGCCTGAGTAGAAGCATTAGAGTTAATTTTTTTGAGGATAGAATGGCGATAATTAGCCAAGGCATGGATGAGGGAGATAGTAAGTTTAGTTTCATCGGAGGTGATCGTAGTGGTGGAGGGAAGATAATTCAAGAGCAGATGGATCGAATGGAGGGCTTGATTGATTGTTGGAGGAGGCAGTGGAGGAAGAGGGGGAGAAACGATGGAAGTGGAAGTGGAAGCAGGAGTCGAATGAGAAGCCGTAGAATGAGAACAAGAAGAGGTGGAGGAAGAAGAGGTGGTCGAGAGTGATGGAGGATGAGGAGGATGGAGTGGGATGAGTTGAGGTGAATGAGTGGATGAGGAGGATGGGATGATGAGTGAGTTGGTTGTTCTAGAAGGGATCGGGGCCGGGTTCGGATGGAGGCCGGAGGGGTCCGGGAGGGAACGGGAGGAGGGGTCGATGTTATAAGACTGGTGGGTGATGGAGGGAGAGGAAGAGAAGGTATGGATGGTCGAGCTTGGTTGAGGCTTGGAAGAAGGGATGAGTCGAGAGGTGGATTGGTCGGGATGATTGATGGAGATATCGGGCGGCTGGAGAGGGAGGATGTGAGCGAAGTCGCTGGATGCAGGCACGTGGATCGGGGTGTTGACGGACGAAGAGAGACTGGATCGCCGGCCCTGTTTCAGGCCCTTCCTAGCCTTGAATGAGGAGAGCCAACCGTGCGATAAGGTCAGCCAGTCCTCCGGCGGGATGTTCTCTAGTCGAGCAAACTCCTTCCACTTCTCCCTTAGGAGTTGGTCGGTCAGATGTTGGTTTTGCTGGATCGCCTCCCGGGCCCATTCTCCCAATAAATCATCGACCTTCGGATACTGGATCATCCGCATCCGCTTCACATTCTCATTCACATAGTTCTTCTTGGCTCGGATCGATTCTTCGTTCTTGAGCCAGGCTGAGATCAGGGGTTGCTTGATCCGCAGTTCTGGGTAGATCGTTTGGAAATGCTTGGCTGTCTTGGTTTGGTTCCTTCCGTTTGAATGATACCAATCTAAGATCTGATTCTTTTGGAAGATCGTCGCGCTCGAGATCGGCGAGGCTGGGCTAGGATTAGCTTGAAGTGAACTTGTCGATTGGGAATCTCTAGGCTTTGATCGACTTGATCTCGATCTTTTCGATGGGGTTGGGGCCGGATTGCTATCATTAGAACCGGTTGGCTCATCAGCTTGGTTTTCTGTTTGATGATGATCTGGTTCGGTAGCTTCTAGGATTTCGACTATTGGTTCGAAGGATGATGATTTTTCTTGTTGTTGCAGTTGTTGGTAATGTTGTTGTTGATTGACTTGGATGATTTCGATGATAGGCTGATAGGAAGCGTTTGAAGGGTGATGATATTCATCGATCCGATTGAGAGCTTGAACTTCTTTGGGAGTCAGAGGGATGATTGTATAATCGTTGAGTTGAAGTAATTGGTTCATGAGATGGTCTTCCTGAGCAGAGATGTGATCGAAAGAAGATTCTTTGCTGCTGCTGCTGTTGTTGTTGATCGAAGGGTGTTTGAGTTGTTGCAGGTCGTACTTGATCTGTTTGAGGTTCGCTTGCAGATGTCCTAGTCCTAATTTCTTGATCAGTTCATTTCCACCTTCGGCTGGTCCGATCAGAGCCGGGTTCCTTGGTGTTTGAGTGATATAGATCTCGTCTAAGAATCGGGACACGTAAACTTCTTGGTAGTTGGTTTGAGTCATCGAGATGGATCTTTCAGTTAGTCATACGCATTCTTGAGTTTGAGTCCGTCCCGTTTTTCTGTTTTTTGGTGGTTTTCTGTTCAGGGTGTGCATATGTAGTTAGTTCGTTGTTGTTTGTTGTTTGTGAGTTTATTGAGATGAGCACTTACCTTCCTGAAGTAGTCCTGTTGTTTTGGTTGGTTCGCTTGAGCTTCTGCAGTTGGTGGTCGGTCTTTGGCTTGTCTGAAGTCTCTCAGGCTTATCCCTCCCGGAAGATGCCCCGGGGACCCCGAGCACATACCGACAACCCCACCGGCTGTGACATTCACAGCATACGCCATACAGTTATTGATGTAAATATCCTGGCACACTTTCTAAACACTCATTTGTGACTTTCAATCTGGGTTAAGAAATTTCAAGATCACTTATATTGTACAACACTAGAAAAATGGAACACATTCATTCTGCTTGAGCAGAAAGTTCTGCATGTTTACATCCATCATCTGATTACTGAACAGCCACAACAACAACAGACGATCATCTTGTATTCATGTAAACCAAACATGGTTGATCATGACTGAATGAATTACAATGTCTGGCTTCGACTCTTTTTTTGTTTTTTTTTGTTTTTTTCTTGAAAAAAAGTTGGTTTTTACACATTGACAAACCATATTATATTTTACAAGTGACTACACATAAAGTATACAACGTTACAATATTTTTTCTCTTTGGCATTCAAGAAAAAAAAAAAAAACCAAACACTCACTAAAACCAATCCAATTTATTGAACCATATTGGCCCCCAATTATCCCTCAAGAAAAGGGGGGGGGGTGAAAGAAAGAAAAGGACGGGGGTGATTTCAAAGAACAGAATCGATGATTTGATTCGAGAGTTTCGATCTCCATTCACAAGATTCCTTAAATTCGCACGGCCTATGACCCAACAAAACAAGCGTGACTTTGCAGTCCAAACAAAAAAAAAAGACAAGAGAGAGAGAGTAAGGAAAGGAGCGGAACGTACGAGCATTTATTAGAGCTCTTGATATCCACCCCGACAGGTTCCGAGTCGCCGTTCCAGAACGACAGGGTATGATGGATGAACCCAAAGAACTCGAGAGGATGAAAGAGGAACTCGAATGCGCCCACGATTTCCTTAGAAGAGCTATCCAGTTTAGTCGGGTGAAGAGAGTCCAAGGAAGAAGAGGAGGGAGATAGGGCAAGCAGAAGAGGATCATCCTCTGTATCCTTTTCTTGGGGAGCTTCCAATCGACTCGTGCTTGTTGGCGTCAAACTCTCTCGTTCAGTTCTTGAAGGAACAACCAATGAGGCATCGACATCAGGCTTTTCTGATGGGTCTTTTGGTTCTGTCGATCCTGGGGGACTGGTTGATGATCGCGTGCTGTTGGCTTTGGTCGGGCTGGTATTCCGATTTTGGGAGGGCTGAATTTCGGCCTTCTGAGGACTCAGAAGGGCCGGGTCGATTTGTGGGTCATTGGAGGCGGCTGTGTTGGGGGTAGAGTTATCCAACAACTGAGGGTCGACCAAAGAGGGATGCTCGCAAGTGACAACTGGAGTGGGAATGGTCAAGTCGACGGTCGGGATGCCTTTGACGATTGACGATTCATCGTTATGGACGGCTTTGATTTTCTTGGAAGGATGTGCCTTTGCAGAGAGATTGGAACGTGTGGTGCCCCGCTTACGATAGACGATCTCCAGGGTGGAGTGAGAGACGCCGATCTGGCTGATCAGATGCTGATACAATCCAAAGATCCCTCGGAGCGTCGTCGGCTTTGACGCAGGACTGGACTCGCTCCAGTCCGTCTCGATACTGGCTAAGACCGGCATCGCATCTTCCATGAACGTCCGGCTGAAGGGCTCGTCTAGGCCCAATCCGAGATGGCTGGCAAATCGCTCTAAATCAAATGATCCACTTGCGTGTTGGTCATAAAGATATTTGTACAGCATCAACTGATATCCTGTACGTACATAGATGCAAAACCAAAAGGACGGTTAGTTAAGCTGATGCTGGTGAAGAGGAGCGCAACGCGAGGCGCTGCAGAGGAACAAGGCTGCAGTTCTGGAAGCATAGCGTTCATTCAGGTGCCTCCTATTAGACCCCTCTTCAAACCTCCAATGAAAAAAAAGTTATCAAGGAAGTATAAGGGATGTACTGACGAGCAGATTCAGTGAATTCCGGAGGCGGTAAGGTTTCGCCTTGACTGAATCAACCCAACAAAAACAAAAACAACATTTGAGGAGAGACGGAGGGGGATTGATTGATGATAGAGAAACTTACGTCGTCTTACTATCACTGATCCTAACAAAGTATCCTTTCGAATCCCCCTGGTCGATCAATGAAGCACGGCATTTTTCTCCGCTTTCGACACGCTCTGATGAGCGGTCCGTGGGGCCTGGAATCAGCTCGATTTGGTCGACGATTCCTTGGATGAAAAAGCCTCCTATGAATCCCCACTGTCACAATAATCGTGCTCATGTTAAAACAAAGTCTAGGTAATTATAAAAATGAAACTTGATGAAACGAGATTGTAAGACTTACCACTGGGATCTCACGCTGAAGGATTCCAATTTTTTTTTCGTCAAAGGTTGTCAAGATGAATTAAGAATGATTAGTTTGGATATTAAGGTATGAAGTACGAAGAATTGGATGAACTGATTCACCATCATACCGGTAGATCTGAGCAAGCTCAAGCTGACGATAGTATTCATAACTCTGGGAAAGACGATGCATAGAGAAACTCTAACTTTTAGCCACCCACATTCAAATCGAAAAGAAAAGAAAAAAGGATAGCTTACTTGAGACCCCATGAATCGACTTGAGTGGTCACTTGAACTTTAACTTTTTCAGGTGCCACTTCTTTTTCGAGTTTGCTGTGAACCTTTTTACCAAAAAAAAAATCACACCGAACCAAGTGTTAAAACTATGAAAACTATTAGTAGATCAACAAAAAAAAAGAGAAAGGAAGTCTTACTTTGATCCCCCCATCCAGGATATTTTGCCGAGAAACGACCAGCTTAGTGTTGACATTAATTGTGACTCCAGAGGAAGAGATGAACGATTTGGGCCGCTGACTCGGTCGCAGATACCGTTTGCCTAACAGTCCATATTCCACTTGGACTTCACACCACACTTGAGTTGGACGCATGTATATTTACAAATGAAGATCAGTTTCATCAACATCAACATCAAAAACAAAAAAAAAGCAAGTGTGGACTTACAACAAGACACAAGGTCGCTGACTGATCGGTTCAATTGAAATAATCACGTGAGAATGAATCAATTTTTAGATATATACAGGACATGGGTTCCAATCAAAAGGATAAAAGAGGACAGACCAGACAGGAAGCCTCTCTTAGCCCGAAAGCGCTGGTAGAGACCATTATTTTTGGAGCTCGGTTTGAGGGACATGAATCGCTGAGACAAGAGATGATGAGTTGCTTGAGAAGCGGTCGGGTTGATAGTATCATTAGACTCAGGAATGACTTGAATATCCAGATGACTAGGAGCTCTTCTCTTCTTGGTGCCCTTCTTCTCGTGTTCTGTGTTGATAGTTGAGGGGCTGGTTACTCGAGTCTTGCTACCAGAGGAATCCGATTGGAGTTTTTTTTTGGTTGGTAATTTACTGATGTGTTGTAGATCTTCGTAGTACTTGTTTTCGATGAGCTGGATTGTTTTGAGATTGGCCTCGTCCCAGACTGGTTCATCGAACTCCTCATCATTCTGATCATCATCATCATCATCTTGCTGTTGTTGTTCTGTTGTTGTTGTTGTGGTTTGTTGTTGTGGTCTGTCTTGATGGGTTTTCTTGGTTGTTGTAGTTGTTGTTAGTAGTTTGCTGCTGTGCTTTGCTGTGGTTGATTGGTTGAGCATCTGGCGAATGGTGTTGTATAACAAGTGGCTGAGTCAGATGAGAGGGGCGGTGATGTGATATGATGATGATGACCTGGCCGGGGCTGTCACAGGAAGTCCTCCCTCTTAGTCTTGCCTCCCTTCAAAAACCTTTGCGAGTCTTCTTCATCAGTGTCGATCGGAAAGGGAAACAGAGAAAACCATCTGACTTGGACATCCACATCAGCACCGGGGACATATCCACACACACACACACTCTATCGACGGATCAAGAAACTCTTTCTTTTTTCTCTTTCTCTCTCTCTCTCTCTCTCTCTCGCTTGTCTCCTTCGCTTCGATATCCACTCCATATATCCTTGCCAGCTCGCATACATCTTGCTATTGGACCATCCACATATTATCGATATTCCAACATCCACGGTGCTCACCACGCCTGCATAACTATGTCTACCGCTTTGATTCTATGTAAGAAGGATCTTCACTTTCTTTACCGTCATAGTAAATTCACACAAACACATTAGTGCAGCACTCTAGTGCACTTCAGAAAAACAAAACTTCAAACAAGCATGTTTTGCCGGAATTCTTAATATGCTTCAACATAATGAATCTTTTTACAAGTTGATCAGAGTTGATCCGTCGGAGTAGGAAACTCATTCATCTTCTACTTACCCCGCAAAAGGAAATCGAACGAGCTCTCTTTCTTTGACACAACTGTGTCGTTTTTTCCTTCACAACAAACAATGTCTTTGTTTTCCTGCTTTCCATTTTCCGTCTCCTTTTTCTCAACAACAAACAACCAATTACAAGTCCCGGCGATAAGTAATGAGTTGAAGATATATATATGTCTGAACTTATATACATTAGAAAGCATCGAACAAGACCAGAAAAACCCAAAAATTCAAGAAAGAAACACAGAAAGGGAAGAAAGAAAAAAGTCCACAAGTCATACGCAAGAAGATATAAATACATCAATATATGTGTGTAGATGTGTTTGTGGATACAAGAACGAGCAGCTACAAACATTTTGCATCAGATTTTTTTACCTCTTTTTTGGTTGGGATGAAGCCAGAGAAATTACGCAAGGAGTTAAATACAAGATAGAAAAGCAGTTTTACAAGAATGAATAACGAGATGGAATATAGAGTGCTACTACAAGCCTAGAAAAACAAAGAAAAGAGATTCAAACAAGGAATTTTGGATAATGTATGCGAAGTAGGAGAGGTTATTGTGAAGAAGATGTTGAAAAAAAAAACAACGATCAAGAAGATACATATATGAGATATACAAACACATCCACTAGAGTACATGGAAAGGGACCAAGAGCTTGCAGTGAAGGATGTCTTCATTCTTGGGTATTTTCGCCACGCCGGGTCCGCTTAGAATGCTCAGAAGGACTAGATTGGGGCGGCTCGTTGCGTTTGCGCTTCGAAGTCCTTGAGGCGCGGGGCGAAGGGGTTCCGACGGTGGGGTCGACTGCAGGGGGGTCGGCGGTGATATCCGCCATCGGGACCCTTCCTCCTCCGACATTTGGTTCGACGTACTCCAATGTCTCGAGGATCTCGATCTTGACTGAGGACGCGTCTTCCTCGGCTCGCCGCTGTGACTCAGTCGCCCTCGGAGCGCTTCTCCGGGGCTTGTTCGACGCACGAGATTCTTCATCCGAGTCTTCGGATCGACTGGAGTGGGTTAATAATGAGTCGCCCCGCTTCCGCTTCGTTGTCTTTGAGCCAAGCGCCGATGAACTTCCTGCGACTGGGTCCATTATTACAGACCCGTCCTCCACTGCTGACTCTTCGACATACTCTAATGTCTCAAGGACCTCGACAGTCACTATTGTCGAACCTGCTTCGGTTCGCGGCTTAGGCTGAGACTGAGTCGCCCTCGTGGCACTTCTCCGGGGCTTGATGGGCTGACGCCATGCTTCGTCTACGGCTGGTGTGGCCGTGAACTCGGACTGTGGTCGAACGAATTCCTGAAGAGGCAACGGGTCGAATGTCGTGGTTGGCCTGTTGATTGGCCGTTGAACACAAAAGGGATATCTGGATAAGAATTGTTGAAAATTCGTTCAGTTATATTGTAAGATGGAGGGAACACAGACGAAGTATTGCGAGTGTTAGGGGAAAAAATGAGAGAGAGTGCGAAAGGAAAGCTGTGCTTCACTGACCGCTCGCAAGGGTTAGGATATACATATTTTTTGTCGGCGTATTCACACCTGATATCCGTTTGGCTAGCCCAGTTACATTCGATGTCAATCTGGACCACAGCATCATCAAGTCCCCTCTTAGGCCCTACGAAGATCAGCAGTCGGTCGCCATCCACCAACTGGAAAGGAAAGTAAAGTTTTACTTATTATTAGTTCCAGTTGGAGTTACAAAAAAAAACAGGTGACAATTAACCTCTACTACGTCATCGAAGTATACCGGTATTCGTGGGGTCGGATGACGGTCCTCCGGAAACGATGGCCAAAGGAGGATGCCCACGTCCTTGTCAGCACATTCCTTTTGAAACAAGACGCGATTCTTGGGCCCCCAGATCGCGTTCTCGATCCAAGAGCGACCCAGTCTTCCGAGGGAGTCGGGGAGCTTGATGCCGAGTCCGTTGCGACTGCGACTGAAGCTGATAGTTGAGCTCATACTATTCTGGAAGTTATGAGAAGGGGGGTGAAACTGTAGTGGCCAGAAGCCGTCGTACTGCGGGTCACTGCCATTCATATAATCTTCATCATCCAGTCGACCGTCAAGATTTGCTCGGGAATCCAGGGTCATGATTCGCATCTGACCAAACCGTCCTTGAGCAGGATCAGTCGGCCGTTGCGGATGACATAGCATGAAGCGCATCGAGATTGGGAAATCGATGCATTTCCCTTCCGCCGCCTCCCGCATTCCTTCGCGCATCCTGAGCCAATTGAGCTCGGCTTCGGGTAGCCATAGCTGATGTTCATCGGCATAGCTATCCACCGGGTTGTGGGCCGGATTTCGATAGAGTCGATGGGCGCTTCGGACGGCTAACTGTCGGATGGCCGCTGTGATTCGGTAGAGGATGCTGACCGACAATTCATCGGCTCGGAATGAGTCAGGTGGATGGACTCGATGCGGGAGGAGGTCGCGTCTGATGAGCCGACATCGAAGCGCTAACGGAATCGATTCGAATCGTTTTCGGACGTTTCGGATGACCGCCTTTGGAAGAGCTGGCTCGTGCCAGCCAAGTGAAAATAGGAACCAGCTCCATAGCGAATCTGGGGTGAGACTGATGGCTTCTGCAGGAGGTGGGGGAAGGGGTATGTCTGAGAAAGGAATAACACTCAAGGGGTGGATGCAGGAGTCCATTGGTAGTAGGTAGTGGACAAGGAAATGTGATAGAAGGGTGTTGAGTGATCGAGGAGAGGGGGTGAGGCTTGAAAGTGGGTATGAAAGATGTTGGGAGAGTTGGATGGACTATTTAAGTTGCACCGGAGGCAGGCCCCTCTCCGGCCGAGGAGAAGAAAGGCTGAGTGCCTTCGAAGGGGGTTCGACCCGAGCCCGGAGAATTATCTTAGATGGTCGGCTGAGGAGGGCATGGGATCTGCAACATTTGAATAACAAAGGAGACAAAGGGCACTTTCCTCTTTTGTTGGCTTGGGGGCCATTGCAAGTCCTACCAATAGGTTGTACAGGTCGCCGGATCAAGCTGAAGAAGACAAGCTTTTTGGCGTCTTTTGTTTTGAGTGTCGATGGCCCCGCCAAGCTCTGTCGGCTCTGGGGAGGGGGCGGCTGCAACAGCATCTGGACACCTGTTGGTCACAGCCCAACGGAGCTTGACATATCTTGCAGCCAAGGAATGTCCGACACTGATCTCCTGTCTTTATAGCATCAAATTAAACAATAGTCGATTTCCGTCAACTAATCCCATGAACCCACATAAACATGTACACTCAACCCCTTCACCCTTTTAAGAATCACACCTTTACCCTTCGATGGACACAACATTGTGCTATGTGGTTTCTAAGCAGGAGGCGCTTGTTTGGGTTGGAGGGCTTTTGATGGACAACAATTCAATCCAGGCTAGACTCAATATATGTATCAATGAATACGAAGTATGAAGGCTCAGAAGGGCTTTAATGCATTTACACTCACAAAAATGACAGTTGACAAGGATTCAGAGAGCTTTTGTAGACTCAAATTCTAATAATGTTATGTATGAATCAAACAAGCTGAGACAAAAAAGCACTAGGAAACTAACAGCAAGCTTAATATGCTTCCACCCAGCTACTAATTTCCCCATTTGTGTAGTATCAGTGACTGGGGAACTTTCTCTTTAATGGCATTTCATACTATCATTTGCTGTTTGAAGTTTGAGCCATGTCATGTTTCTGAGTGAATGCAAACCACAAAACAGACATCCCATCACGTTCATGTATTTGTAATGAGACATACCTACAAAAGTTGAAATCTTTACATCTCTTACCTCCTAATAAGGGCCTGTACCATACCACCTGGTCCACTTTTCATTTGCAATTTTGACCTGTTGTACTTTCTTCACCAACAATGTTGAGTTGTTGGCAAAAATATGGAAGCTCAGAATGTTGTGTGATGTGCATCCAGGAGCTCTCTAGCTACCACCACCCAGACTCATCAATCTTGTGGTTTGGAAAATAAAAACAAAGGAATGCTACCTCTTTCTAGAATTTTGGAACTGAGGGGGTCCATGGTACACCATTCTGGGAAGGCTCAATGTCCAATTCAAAATTCGGAAATTGGCCCAAAAATTGGGGTTGTGGTACAGGCCCTAAACCACAGCATGATTCAGAGTACTTACCAATTAACAACATTTCATTTGAAAAAAAAGCATTTACAAGTGTTCTCTTTAGTATTTCCTCCCAGATTGTTGACCTGGTGCTGCATCTTTTTCCAAGGAATCTTTCTCTGTAACCTAGTAACTTCCCAAGGACTCAAAGAATTCTGCATTGGAAACCTGGTACTAGGTATGCTGCTGTCAGCCTCTATGCTGCTAACCTGGTGGTTGTGCCATGTGTGTTGATGGTGGAAGTGGTTTGGGTAATGGTTGATGAGGGAATTTGCGGTACTTGATTGCTCAACTATAACAGAAGGCAGAGGGAGTAGTCAGTAAGACTTTTTGTAACCTGACTCTTCCTACTAGGAGGACATCCAAATCAATCCTTTAAGGATTAATAGGCATCCAAGGAATCCTTGCTCTTACTTGGGTTTGTGGAAAGGATGGTACTGAAGAGATAACAGCATCAAATGGATAGCTTACTATCTTTCCAGAATTATTTAAGTGAGGGGATTCCAGGCAGTGCATTATTTTATTATGCTAAATAACCATGTAGTAGGCTAAGTTCTGCTGTTCTGAATCTCTGAGAGGCAATCTGTAGGATTGGAGGCTCCTGAAATATTCTTGGAGAAGGTATGGGGGTGCCTCAGAGAATTGTAGAAGAAACTTGAAAGGGGAACTTCTTGTGGTACCTTTCACAGCGTACAAGGGGCCAATTTCAAATTAGATGAGGTCAATTATAATGCAGTGATCTAATTATTAAATATGATTTCCTGTGAGGTGTTTTAATGGGAAAATGTATGTCAACATGGCATAATTGAATTAATTCAAGCCCTTCTTTGGTCTATTCCCATGCAGGTTTGATTTCTATTATGCATAGAAAGAATTGGCCACAAAGGAGGTCTGTTGGTGTGATCCTCGGTAGAAATGATGCAATATTCTAGCAGGCTCTTTTTCAGGTTTTATTGTAGAGTTTTCTCATTCAGGGATATCAAATATGTAGAATCTGAAAACTTAAACCCCCATTTTCTTCTAAACTACTGATCAATTTTTCATGAAGGTATTATGGAGAGTAGCAGTTTCATATGATGTATCTTAATTATTACACCTCATCTGGAAAAATCCATCAGTTCAAGAGAAAATGTTGTTTTAAGTTTTGAGAATTTTCATATTTGATACCCCCTATTTTATTTACACATCATGTAAATGTATTTTATACTTTGTATTTTCAGCAGAATATTTTCAGTAGAATATTTTTTATATTTAATACTCTAAATGTAACAGGGGTTTCACAAGTTCTTTTCATAAATTTTATTCTTATGACTTATTTTTGTATGGACAAGTAAATTCAGTGAACAAGAATCAAAACGTTTTATTAAATATATATAACTTTTAACAACTAAATACTGAATTCTGGTGTGCAATGTATTTAAGGGATTTGAAGGTACATGGTACATGTCACATACTGTGATATTTATTCAGTGGCCGACAGCTGGTGATTCATGGGGGAGAATACAAATGCCAAGGTACATGTAACTTGTTGAAAGGAAGGTCTTCCTTCCACGAGGTTCTGCCTTCTTGACCATTTAAGGGGTGGATATCCATGGATACCCCCTCGGATACCTGCTAAGGCTGAGGGATACCTGCCAGCAGACACAGATGTGGATGTCTGATTCTGCTGAAAAAGCAAGTGGATATCTGGATGTGACGTGGCCATCTCTAAAAAAAGCATAACAAGATTTATGCTAGAGATCCAGAGAAGCCCAGATAGGTGCCAGACATTCACAGGGTCAGGGTGTGGGATTGCCTACAAGACCAACCAGCATTCCCATAAAACACCTTGTATGCATTCAAGCAAGAAAAAGACAAATAAAATGGTTTCCAAGTCCACTCAGTCAAAACAAAATCAATCATTATCAAATCAAAAAAAGGAAAGCAACAGTTTCAAGTTCTAAGAAAAGGAAGCAAACTGGTGTAGAATATGATGATGATTCTACTGACAATTCTGTTTTCAAATCTACAAATGATCAAATCAATGAACTAGTTCTCATGAATCTTTCCCAGGACTCTGATGAAGCAAATGATCAGGCTAGAGAAAAAGAAGACTCAAGGTGGCGCCTTTTCTTATTTTTACAATGTTCAATTGTACTTTGAAGAGCCGGTACTTGCAGAGGGAAAAGTAAGTCTTCTTGTATCTTGAATTTTTAGGTTTGGTTTCAAAACTTACTAATGAGCTTTTACTCATTTTTTTTCCTTAGAATAACCACCCAAAGTTAATATAAGCTAATATATAAACTTTTTTTCAACCAAGGAGTCCACCAGCTGAAATTTTTTATGATAAAGGGTCTTAGTTAAACAACTCCCAAATATTGGAGTTCCGACTCCCAAATATTTGGGACGTCGCTAAGACCCCCTGCGGACGGTCCACAGGCCGTCCACCCCCGGAGATGGGAGTCGGACCTCCCAAACCTTCAACAGGTTTGGGAGTCGATCCTCCCAAGAAAAAATAAAAATAAAAAGATAAAAAAATGAAAAACCCCGGGGGTTTTTGGGAGTAGATCTTCAAAAACCCCCGGGGAGGTTGGGAGTCGGCGCCAGACTCGACTCTCAGCTGCGGAGAGGAATCCCTCTCCGCCGTTGACCTCCCGGCCGCTGAGAGTGTATAGCTCTCAGCGGCCGAGAGGGATTTTCCCCGGCCGGTGAGAGTGTACACTCTCATCGACCAAGAGGGATTCCTCTTGGTCAATGAGAGTGTACATGAGAGGGTACTCTTTCACCGGCCGAGAGGAATCCCTCTCGGTCGATGAGACTGTACACTCTCATCGACCGAGAGCAATTCCTCTCGCACAGTGAGAGTATACACTCTCAGCGGCGGGAGAGGGGATTCCTCTCCGCCGCTGAGAGTCCGGCGCCGACTCGCCACCACCCTGGGGGTTTTTGAAGATCGACTCCCAAAAACCCCCGGGTTTTTTTACTTTTTTTATCTTTTATTTTTATTTTTTTTTGGGATGATTGACTCCCAAACCTGTTGAAGGTTTGGGAGGTCTGACTCCCATCTCCGGGGGTGGACGGCCTGCGGACGGTCCGCAGGGGGTCTTAGCGAGGTCCCAAATATTTGGGAGTTGGAACTCCAATATTTGGGAGTCGTTTAACTAAGACCCATGATAAATTATTGAACAAGTATTTTTATCAATTTCATATTTCTTTTCTTTCTATATGGTCTTGTAAGCCAGTCTGGGCACAGGCCCAAGGCCCGCGTGTCCGAGTGCCACCAGGGCTTCCGTGTGTAAGGCTGGCTCCCAAGTGTTACATGCAAGTCGGGAGCCCTTCCGAGTTCTTCTGCGCAGTGATAATCACAAGTAGAAGCCTGCCCAAGCAGTTTCCATGGGTACTGAGGTGGGTGGCAGGGTAATGGGCAGGTATGTTGAGTTGGCACACTCTCTTGTTCAGATGGTGGTGAGGTCAAGTTTGGAGTGGGTGGCACACTTGTCTGGGCTCGGCCAAGTGTGGCATGGGCCCAACCCCCTTTAACTTTGGGAGGTGCCAAGCAAGGGTTGGGTATAGGCCAAGTTGGGTTTAGAGGGTGCCACACAGGGTTTGGGATTGGCCAAGCCCTCTTGGCCTCTTTTTTGCCCAAATTGGGCCTGTGTCCAGACTGCCTTGCAAGACCATACATATCTTACCTAGGGGCGCCGGCCAGACTGCCAAAGCATGGCGCCTTTAGCTGGCGGCGCCCTGGTGAGCTGGGTGCTGGCTATAAAGCTCTCTTTATCCATTTTTTTGGTTTGCATGAGTACATCCACCAGATGATGCCTGAATCCCTCAGGGCCACCATACTTCATTAGAGGGCCAAAAGATCCAAGTTCCAGACCGGACTGACTTGTAAATCCCAGCTCTTGCTCCTCATGGCCATTGGTGGCACCCCCTCTGCTCCAAGGTGCCAACCCAATACTGGGCCTTTGCTTGCGCTGACAGGACATTCAAACTGTGAGATTATGCTGATGCCAAACTACACATTTACTATGTAATTTTAAATAATTAACCTTAAAAGTTGCAAATCCATAATTAAAAAATTAAATTTGAAATTGTAAATCCATAAAAAATCCTAAAAAGGGGGGTAAACCTCAGGTGTGCACCAACTTTTTGAAAACATTGTGGACCCAGGGGCGCGCACAGGGGGCGGGCGCACTTTGGCGCACCTCACCATATGGCACCATCAACCCTAGGGAATGGGCTTGAATGGTCTTGAGGAGTGCTAAGGTGAGGTTCATGAAGAGCAATGAAGATATTTTATTGTTTGTCTCAATACATAGCAATACATCAAGGTTCAATTCCACAATAGCAAATCTAACTGGTCTAGTATAGTATTTCAGAGGTACTACAAAAAGTCTTCAATTGCATTTGCAGAATGCACCCTAACATTGCATGTCACATCCAATGTCACCTCACATTTGCAAAATGCAATTGAATTTGTAGTGCCAAAAATCTAATCACATTTTGCAAATGTGAGGTGACATTGCATGTGACATGTGATGCTACTGCGCATTCTGCAAATTTGATTCAACAGTTTTTGTAGTGAGGTAAGGGAAGGGGAGTTGAGAGGTTGGGAAGTGTTGAAAAGTCTTTGGGAAAGGTGGAGGGAGAGCAATGAAGATAATATATTCTGTTTTTACTTTCAACAACATTAAACATTCAAAAGTCACTTTGTGTTGGAATTCAATTCCTTGCCTGATGTCAGCGCCGGTCTCTTATGTGACCTGGTGTTGATGGGGTTTATGGGGTCGCACTATAACTGCAGAGGCAGTCAGTGGTAAAGAACCACACCTCGACGCTAGGAAGCGGAGGGGTTAGCTCCCTGGGTTAGAGGGGACACACGCGGAATGAGCTTCGCGGTGCCGAGCTCAGAGTATATAAAACTCTCTTCTAGGCTACAGTAGTGACTTTACTGTAGTCTAGGGAATAGAGGGAGATGATGAAGGGTGGATGGAGGGTTGTAATAGTTGTAATAGATTATAAAAAACCCCACTCACTTAATTTAAGTAAGGATAACGGGTTTGTATGGCAATAATCTCTGGGGGAAGGAATCCTAGAGGGAAAGCCTTCCCCTTAAGTATTGCAAGGCAGGTTTCAGGCTGCCTGTTGGACCGGACAGGTCCACAGATGATCATTTATGTATTTAAATCATAAATGATCAAAATATGTATTTAAATTATGATCACACCAAAAGTGGAGGAAATGACATAATCTCTCTCTCTGGGTCAATCAATACAGAGAGAGATAAATAATTAATCCTCATTGGTAATCATCTCTCTCATTACAACAGATAATCAAGAGAGAGAGATGACTAAGCTTTTAATACATATGTATAATATTTATTTATTACATAAGTATAGAATAAGATACCAAGGACACTGGGACTCAGGTACATCCATCAAGATATACCTCATCCTTTGAAGTGGTCATCAAACCACTACATTAAACCAACTCATGGAAATATGAGCCAATGCAGACATTTGGACATGTCCTACATGTCTCGTGGCTGACACCTGATCCCTCAAAAGAGGAGAGCATCAGGTTGATTACATGAAAAATTAACTTCCTGAAGAAATAAATTCATTGCACTGATCACAAAAATTTGTGAATATCAGCAGAGTTAGGCTGTTCAGCAGATGAACAAGAAAGAGACACAATAATAGCTTGCACATTGAGTAGTGACATCATTGACATCACTAGGAAAGATAAAGATAATGATCATGGTCACTAGCAAAGATAAAGATAATGATCATGGCCCGTAGATTTTTCTCAGGAAGAATAATTGCTCTTCAAGGGATCTCACCACCAGAAATCAAACCAAAAATGTGGAACCAGCTGTTGAATTCTGGGTACCGGCGCATACATTTGTGATGTCATAATTGTGTGATCTTACACAGCCTAGTTTCTTTATGTTGTTGACCGCTAGTTGTTGTTTTCTTCATCTGATCTTCTTTCTGTTGACCATTTTTCATTATCTTATCAACTTTTATTATCTTTCTAAATATCCTCGACTATAACCTCAAGCTACTTACCTTTTATTATCTTCCTAAATATCCTCGACTATAACCTCAAGCTACTTATCCACTTCACTCTTGTGGTTTTCATTTCGCCAAGGATTCTGTCTCTAGGTCAACTTTTACAGGTTCTTATTTCTTTTTATTCTAACCATCTCATCACTGTCATTGATCATTGTCTAACTGTTATCTTTATTTTTTAAGTCTTTCCACCTAGTCTTGTGACAGTCATATTCTTTTCTCTTTCTATCAATTCATCCTTAGCGTGTTTCCTGTTCTATCTAGGTAACTTTCATTCTACTATTTCTTTATCATTATTTCTTCTTTCTTTTACTGAAATGAATGTTCTATCTAGCCTTAAACTTTTCACATTATCAGTACGGCGCTCGAAATAGATACGAACAGGAAGCGACCACTATTATGTCGGACGTTGAGGATAAATCGACCAAATCGTCAATCCCTAAACTCGACGATCTCAACTATCCGTCGTGGTCAGTCAGGATGAAGGCTTACCTCCGTAGCAAAGATCTCTGGGAAATTTGCACTGGCGAGGTAACCCCAGCTAAAAAGAAGAGAAACGAAACTCTCAACGCTTTAATCAGCCATCTAAGCAAAGAAGCTCTTGATGCCACTGTCACTCCCGAAAACGAAGAAAACCCAGCTTTGCTCTGGGCTTCCATCGTGGAGAGATACGCTTCTTCCTCGGTTAACAATAAAGCTCGTATTTGGTTGAAGTGGATGCGTTATGAGTTCAACGGCAATCTTACCACTTATCTTGCCGACTGTCAAAAAATGATCAGGGAATGTGCGCTTGTCCAACTTGGCGTTCCCGACGATATAATTTCGATTTCCATTCTGGCTAAATTATCTAAAGACTACTGGAATGTCGTCGACAACATTATTATGAACGAATCGATAATCTTCTTTCCGAGTCGTACCCTTAAAAAACTGCGCGAACTCGTTTATATGAAGGATACTCGTACTACTGGTGTTTCTAAAGTCGAATCTACTTCAAAAAACCCAACCAACGCTGCTTCCGCCTATAAGTCTGAAGCAGGTTCCAAGGGTAAAAAATCTAAATCACCACCAGCAAACCCTTGTTCGCCGGGGAAACATAACCCGTTGGCATTTCATCCAATTTGGCGTTGTTTCAACTTACCGGTTGAAGAACGTGAAGCTCTTCGCCCTAAAGATCCAGAAGCTCATACGACCTTAGCGGATGATCTAGCGAACAAAGAGGATGAAGAAGTTGTTGAAGTTTCCGCTTATCTTTCGAATGCGTCAGAAGTTATGAAAGCTCCCATCCTCGATTCTGGTGCTTCTCACCACATGGTGAATGATCTGTCTATTTTCTCAAAAATCAAAGACGTAGACATCAACATTCATACTGGTAGTAACAGACACATCAACGCTATCGCCATGGGAGAAGCTTTTATCTCAGACGACTCTGGCTCTACCATCAAGCTTACCAACGTGCTCTATGCGCCCGATCTTCTTAGGCCGCTTATATCGCTCAATCGTCTTTTTGTCAAGAATATTTCGTTATCAAAAATCTATAACTCTTTCAAAATTAAATTCGATGATAACTTTAGCTTGTCGGGCATCATTCATAACAACTTGCTAGAAATTACCAATCCTTTTGCAATGAAAGACGCAGTTTCCTCGTATCATTCTTTGTCATCAAACACTTTGATCGACTGGCATGCTAGACTGGGTCACCCAAGTTATCCTTATCTTAAAAGGCTAGTTGAAGATGCCGAAATGGTCGACTGTGTTACATGTAAAATGTGCAAAGCGACAAAATTACCTTTTAAGGGCAAATTCACACCAACTTCTCAAGTTCTTGAAGCAATTCACCTTGATCTAGTTGGACCTTTCCAGACTCGCTCCGTTGGAGGTGCTCAGTACTTTCTAACGATAGTCGATCAATTTTCTGGCTTCAAGACAATTAAACTGTTGAAACACAAATCAGAAACTTTGAACAAATTTGAAGAATTTGTGCTTTGGGCCGAAAATCAGACTGGACATACAATCAAGAGGATCATCTCAGATAACGGAGGTGAATTCAAAAACATTTTCTTTGAAGACTTCTGTCGTAATCGTGGGATCTCTCAACATTTTTCACCTCCGTATACTCCTCAAAACAACGGAATGTCAGAACGCTCAAATCGTGCCATTCTTGACAAGGCCAGATGTTTGTTTGCTCAATCAAATCTATCTCCTCGTTACTGGGCAGAAGCAGTTGTCACTGCAACGGATCTTTGCAATCTTCTTCCTTCAAGTACAAGGAATTTTAAAATTCCTTACAATACTTTCTTCGGTCGAGCAATTGATCTTTCAAAATTACGATCTTTTGGTTGCATGGCGTATATCCTTGTCCCTGAAGAAATTCGTTCAGCCAAGTTGCTTCCTCGGTCGGAAAAAGCAATCTTTCTCGGCTATGTCAACGACTTCTCCTCATATCGCTTTGTCAGAATTGAATCAAAGACTGTTTGCACGACTCGTAATGTGACATTCGACGAATCAATCTTTCCATCTTTGTCAAATGAGTCCTTGGATCAATCAAGTTTCTTCTTCAACCCGTTTGAAACAATCCCAGAGGATGTTGAGGAGGAAGTTGATGAGTTCC